CTGACATTTAGTGGGTAGGGTCCAGGGATGCTGCTAAATACCTTATAACGCATGGACAGCCCCTATAACAAAGCATTACCCAGCCCCAAATGTCAATGGTGCCAAAGTTGAGAAGCCCTGCCTGGTAGGGTTATGAAGATGAAGCAAGATAATGAATGCAGCGAGTTTGGCCTGGTTAACTGTTACTCTGAGAAAACCATCCCAAAGATTGCAAAATCAGCTTTCAAGACGGGGGACGCCCAAAGGCTTAATTTCAGCAGCGTTTGTGATACTTGCCAGGGAAGAGCCCTACGTTCAGGATTTCATGCTCTCCTGTTTAGAAGTGGTGACAAGACTCACTGAAGATTGTTAGAGTGTTACACTATGTACTAACATGAGCTGGCGTGGGTTTATCAGAGCTGTAAAAACAATCATTAATTTTTAGGGTGTTTCTGGTAAACTTCCTGCTTGCTTAACTAGTTTGTTCGGTGGAGATAATTTTGGTGTGTGCATTTAAATCCTCTTCTGATGGAGGATGTTTTAGGTAGTGAATTTCCAAGTTGTGTTTTGGTAAGTGGGGCGTGAAAAGTGTTTGTTTTCACATCAAGAAACCTAATGTTTTTCTAGCCCTGGGTTTAAGACAAAGGTACCTTTCCCCTTGTTTACTGCCACGCCTGCCTCTTGCACAGTGTTTTGGTGTTTGTGGGAGTGGTGTGGAGAGCTGTTGGATTTCCATCTATTGTTTATTGTAGATTTGCAGTTGAGATTGTTACGTAAATTTTTTTGCAATTATAAAAGTAATATATGCACCACTTGGAAGATTTGAGCAGTAGAGAAAAAAACATAAAGATACAGTTAAAAAAGAAAGTCGTCAGTAACCCTACCACACAAAGGTACAACTACTGTGCGTGTGCTTCCTTTCATTTCTTTCATTCAAATATTTTTCCCCTATTTTAAAAAATATTTCAATTGATTTTTTAGAGAGATAGGAAGGGAGAGAGCGGACATGGATCAGCTGTCTCCTGCACGCCCCCTACTGGGATGGAGCCTGAAACCCAGGCATGTGCTCTGACCAGGAATCTAACCAGCAACTCCTTGGTACATGGGACCAACTGAGCCATACCCACCTGGGCTTTTCCCCCCATTTGAAATATTCTGAGCATATGATTTTTGTGTTCTACTTTTTTAGTTAACATCTTTTATTTGCCTTTCCCCACACTATTAAAATGTCTGTAAATATTGTTTCTAAGAACTGTAAAATATTCCATTTATATTTGCTTCATGATTTATTCAATCCCATTGTTACCAGACAGAGACCTGGTCCTGAGCAGGTCTGCCCAGGGCTGGCCTGTCGTGTTTGGGTTCTTGGACTTCGTGCAGGAAAGATGTCGCAACATGAGTCCAGGTGATTTTGAGAGGATGTTGATTAAAGCTGAGGACACTGAAACAAGGAAGGGCCTAGGATAGAAGAAGCAACAGGAGAACCTAGGCGGGGCTCAGTGGAGAGTCAGAGAAAAGGGGGCCTTGGAGACAGGTTCAGGGGGTGAGCCCAGGATGAGCTGCTGCTGCCTATTGCTCTCCAGGTTGTAAGTCTCAAGGATGCTTAGAGTTTAGGAAATGCATGTGTGGGGGGAAGGGGGAGGAGGATATACTCCTTTGAGGATGCTGGGTCCTTTATTTTGAGGGTTTTTATTTTTTTAAAAATATATTTTATTGATTTTTTTGCAGAGAGGAAGGGAGAGGGATAGAGAGTTAGAAACATCAATGAGAGAGAAACATCGATTAGCTGCCTCCTGCACATTCCCTACTGGGTATGTGCCCACAACCAAGGTACAGGCCCTTGACCGGAATCAAACCTGGAACCCTTGAGTCTGTAGGCCGACCCTCTATTCACTGAGTCAAACCGGTTAGGGCTATTTTGAAGGTTTTTAAAAGCTTTGCATTTAGGGGAGGTTTCAGCAGAAGATTAATCAGTTTTCCATGGCAAGGGATCATTTGTCATGGGAGCTGGTCCTGACATCTCTTCTCCCACTTACTTGGTTTTGCTGATTTTCTGGGTCTGGAGCTGAAATACAACTGCGGCCTAGATGTTATCTCCAAGGAGGGAAGGTCAGGGGGTCTAAACCGCATGACCAGCGAAGTGCCAGGGGAAGAAAGGCAACCTAGGGGTGAGGCCCAGCGCTAGTTTTGCTCATAGCTAAGCACCTGGGGCCTTCCGCCCTGGTGACCTTTTGTATGTGGCTGTAAATTGCTCAGCCAGTTTGTTCAGCTATGGGTCTCATTTTCTCCATTCCACTTGCCAAGCAATTTTTCTAGCTTGCTATCCCGCCTCACCATTGTAGAGCAGACAGCCTGTTTGGAATTGTTGATGAGTATCTTTATGCAGTCAGCATTTTCTGTATTTCAGAATGTTCTGATCTTTACAATGCATGATCAGAAGTAGAACCAAAGGATGTGGACACGTATGGATATCTCAATCGTTACTGCTGTTAGTTGCCAAACGTTTCTATTAACTTTTGCTGCCTTTAGCAGAGCGATATTTTCATTTTAATAATATATGATAATTTTCTAGGAGTATTTTGTTTTCCTTTTTTATTTCATATTAATGAGATCAAAAATGTTTATATGACTACTGGCTATATTTCCTGTTCTTAACAAACTGTTCATGTACTTTGTCTATTTTATCTATTGGATATTAGTAGTTTTCTTGTCATAAACTCTAGTTTATCATATTTCACTTAATTAACCTTCATAGTTACTGCCAACATTTTCACCTAGTTGTTTTTTTCTGACTTTTTGTTTGTCTTTTAATTTTGTTTTTAGTCATATAAAAGTTTAAAAATTGTAGGTAGTCAAATCTATTGGTTTCCTTTTCCACTTGAGGTCTTCAACTTTGCCTATACTGAAATGAACCCTTTCTGCTCTGGAAGTCACTATACTGTGCCATCTGTGTTTATTAAAACCCAATCCCCAAATGACCACTATAGAGTTTCCTAATGAGGATAAATGGACCTCAAGTGCTTATTCTAATATGGCCACCCATTATATCCCATGGAAAACCGTGTGTGTGTGTGTGTGTGTGTGTGTGTGTGTGTGTGTGTGTATGTGTGTGAGAGAGAGAGAGAATGAGAAATTGAGAGAGAGAGAGAGAGAAAGAGAGAGAGAACGAGAAATCGATGTGGACCAAGGCTCCTTTGGTTTGGTTTTGAATTTACTTTTGCTCAGGGTGGAAATGAGTTTCCTGAAGGCAGGGAGCTTCCATAGATTCTGTGGCTGTGCCTGGCAGAGTTGGCCCACAGCAATTTTTTTGTTTAGTGCATGAGAAGACAAAGTCCCCTTCACTCCTCGCTCCCTAAGTTTTGTTCTCTTGGGCTCCAGGCTCTGCCTTGCTCAGCCTCCTCAAGGCAACTCCCTGTCCTGTGGGCAGACTCAGAACAGCAACCCATAGCCCTGTTACAGTCCTCCAGCTGCATTAGCCAAGAAGAGGGAGGTAACAATAACAACTAGTGTTGATCTATTTTGCAAAGCCCATTCACTGGGGCCTTTTTATATGCTTCTCAACTCAATCTTATGAGATTAAATTCTACTAGTATTTTCATCTCCATTCATTTGGAGGAAACTACCACACAGTAGAAACATAATAAACATGGAGAGCATCTGACTCAAGACCTGATCCTCTCTACTTATGAAACAATTCTATCATTGTAATTTCTTGGTGGTGCTGTTGGGACAGAGGGTAGTAGCAACTATTTTAAGTTTTAGAGTCAGACATATCTTGGGTGGAATCCAAGCACGGTCATGTCTTAACATTGCGACTTTATTACTCACCCAACCTGAGCCTCAGTTTTCTCACCTGTAAGAGGGGAACAATGTCTACCTTGTAGGAATACTAGAAAGATTAAATTAAGATAATACAGTCAAGCCTGACTAGCGTGGCTTAGTGGTTGAGCATAGACCTTTGAATCAGGAGGTCATGGTTAGATTCCCAGTCAAGGCACATGACCTAGTTGTGGGCTCGATGCCCAGTGTGGGGTGTGCAGGAGGCAGCCAATCAATGATTCTCTCTCATCATTGATGATTCTGTTTCTCTCTCCCTCTCCCTTCCTCTCTGAAATCAGTATAGATATATTTTTTAAAAAGATAATCCATTCAAGATGCTGAGCACAGTACCTGGCTCATTCAGTGTAGGAGCTCAATAACGATTGTTTCCCATCTCAAAGTTAAAAATGCTGCTGTTGTTTTTTGTTTAAAAATTTTAGGATAACTGGTAAACCTGTTCAGTCTTGTCAACTTTTAGTAAACATTATGGGTATTTAAGTGCAAGAAACTTGTTTTTTAATCTGACCTCCTTATTTTTCTGTTCAGTAGTTTTTTTTTTGTTGTTTTTTTTCCCTGTTAAGGATGTCACCTGATTTTCTGAAATCCTTCTACTAGGGAAATTTCATGATGAATCCCCAGCTTAGGACTCTTCTCACAGCCAAAATAAGACATGAATTGTCTATGTGTTTGTGTAAAAAGCAGAGACAGCTTTTTGGAATGGCAGCAACTCAGTCATCCTTTTACAGTAGGGGTGGGGAACCTTTCTTCTGCCAAGGGCCATTTGGATATTTATAACATCATTGATGGGCCATACAAAATTATCAATGTAAAAATCAGCCTGCTACTAGTATATTTGGTCAAACACTTAATTAAGTCACCCCTAATGCCTTGGCAGAGCCAGACCAAATGGTTTCTCACGCCCTATACAGCCCGCAGGCCGGACTTCCCCACCCCTGCTTTACTGTAGGCAAGATTTTGGCATCATTCATGGAGCTGTTACTTGTCCATGTATAATAAGAATTCAGGCAATAAATAGAGCAGTCCTTAAAAGAAAGAAAAAAAGGCTGTAGAAAATCATGAGAGAAGACAAGCGTTAAAAAACTCAGGAGAAAAGTTGTTGAGTAAATCTTCATTTTTTATGCCACATATAAGTTGGGTTAGATTTTATTGGCTTTATGCTAGATCTTGATAACCACATAAAGAGAACTGTATGTTTGCTTAGACTTTTTCATTTTAATAAATTGAGCCAAGTAATTATAAGTGTTGTTTTCTTCGAATTATAATGTAATCCAAATGCAGTCTTTTTTCTATGGAGTTACAGATAACACGCTTTGAGAATCTTCTTCGGAATATGTCTTGGAATTTCTTTCTTTCTTTCTTTTTTTTGTCCCTGAAGACAAAGTTGCATTTTCAACTGTACATCATCTTTTATTGGAATGTGGGAAAGGTTAACGTGTAGGGTTAATAACTAAACTTCTATCTCCTATTCTGGGAAATTTAGATCTGTCGTCCTATGGTTTTTCCACCCTCCACACCCCACTCTCCCACCTGGTAGGAATAAAAAGGTAAGAATGGGAAAGCCTTTTTAAATATAATTTATATAAATTCATGAATTAGTTGGGTTTTTATATAATGCATGCCATATTTGGATATACTTTGCATAAAACATGGATACAGTTAAGTATCAGTGATTAAGTGAAATTTGCATGGTTTTTAAGTTACCTCTTAGGTCTAGAGTTCAAGGATCAAAGTGAGTGAACTGTTGGCCAAATCTTGTGACTATTGCAAATTGAGCATCGGGCATTATAAAATGCCACACCCAGTTTTAATGGTCAGTGGACACTTGTTTTCCTAAAATTCCAGGCCTATCATTTAATTTCTTAATTTGCAGCCAAAGTCTCCACTAAGGGCAGAGGTGGTAGTGGTGATAATGGTAAAGAGAGTGTGGAAGAATAAAGTTGGTGCTGACTCGACTATTGATTTACAGGATACAAAGGACTAAAGACTATGCCTTGTGATCCTGAGATAACAGCCCAGTTGAGCAGCCCTGTGCTGATCACTTCAGCCAAATCATGTTGGCAACAGCCCTTTGAAACAAAGCCTAAGAACCCAGCAAGTTTTCCTGGGCATTTCTTGTTGCTGGCTGGTTGGCTAATGGAGTAAATAGAGTAATTAGCTCTCATTAGCACTCCCACAAGCTGTAATACATCCACCTGAGGCAGAGATGCTTGCTTCTGTTACTGAAACCATGAAAACCCTCATCTGATCTCTTCAGTCCAGGATTTTCACATTGCAGAAACAGAATGCCAACTTGGCAAGAGTAGAATCCAACAAGTGCTGCAAATAGCCGAACTTACTGACCGGGGTGGAAAGGCTTTCCTGAGAACAATGACTGTGTCTAAGAAACCAGTGAGCTGTTTGAAGCTTTTTATTCTTTTTTTTCTTTCCTTCTTGTGTATATGACTTCCATGAGCCAGGTTAGTCACAGACATTGAATACTGGTAGTCCTATAACTTGATCCCTTTAGCTTGTCAGTTGTACTTCAGAAGCTGTGGACTGCATCAACAGGGTCTGGATTGTTTTAAGTCCTTGAGAGAGAGACAGACAGAGAGAGACCGACCTTTGATGGTGGTTTATGGCCCTTTTTAGGACCACTTGCTATCAATAGTCCTTGTTCCTATGAAATACAGAAAAGGAGAAGGAGGGAGACAATGTTTTGCACACAAGCCTGGAGAAATATATAGAAAAACTTAAAATTGGCATAATTTCTATTTTATTTTATTTTATTTTTTAATCCTCATGGAGAACATGTTGTGAGAGAGAGAGAGAGAGAGAGAGAGAGAGAGAGAGAAACATTGATGTGTGAAAGAAATATTGATCAGTTGCCTGAACCAGGGGGTATTGAACCTGCAACCCAGGTGTGTGCCCTGACTGGGAATCGATCCGGCAACCATTTGGTGCATGGGGCAACACTCCAACAAACTGAGCCATTCAGGCAAATTGTTATAAGTTTATAGGAAACAACCTGAACCAATAATCTGGTAATCTTGTCCCAACATTGATCAGTTGTATGACCCTGAGCAAGTCTCTTAATCAGTCATGCAGCTGAGATAATTATATCAGCCTGGTCCTCACAGGGAGAGCTCAGAGGGTCAAATGAGATGATGTGTAAAAAGCTATAAAATGTTAAGCAATAGTATGATTTTAGGTTGAGATTTTCATCTGAAGCACATTATCTACATTTTTAACATCCTGCACCGAAACCTCTGATAATAAGGTACAGACACTAAGCAAGTACCTGCGTTTCCTTTGACTTGCACTCCTGTGACATCTCTAACTCTGTCCCTTAACCCTCAATTGTACAGAGCCTGAATGACTAAATGACTACTAGGCAGCTCCTTGAAATTTTCTGGGAGATGGTACTGCCTCCTGGGCAACATGGTAGCAGCTGCTCTGGATTCCTGCTCAGACCTGCCTGCCATCTGCTTTCCCGGGGCTGCAGTCAATACTACAGAGTCATCAATAATCTATCAGCTCCAGGAATGGTTCTCTGTGATCATAAGTTTGAAATGTTGGCAGTAAAGTATTCAAAATGCATTTTCATACCTCTATGTAAAACTGTTCTTTTCTATAGTGTTAGCATGAAGATTTGCTGGGATTTGAGGTTATAAAGCATGTATGTCTTGGGGCTGGGGGAAGGGCAGACTCTAATGGTTAAGGCTGAGAACTCCAGAGCCAGCATCCTGTCCCTTTGGTGTCAGTGTTGAATGCCACATGATGTTGTGAGGTGCAAATTCCTAGCCTGGTGATGTCTCACCTCCCTTGCTTGTGAGCCTGTGAAACTCCTGGGCATTATTTAACTCCAGTCCCTGTTGACTCTGTTGGGTTGGTGTTCAGAAAGTGATCTGAACTGATTATCAAAAATTTGTAATTTGTTTAATATGTTTTTATTGATTTTTAGAGAGAGGGGAAAGGAGAGGGTTAGAGAGATAGAAACACTGATGAGGGAGAAACATTGATCGGTTGCCTCCTTCATGCCCCCCACCGAGGGTTGAACCCAAAACCCGGGCATGTGCCCTGACCTGGAATCGAACTGGTGACCTCTTGGCTCATGGGTCGACACTCAACCACTGAGCCACCCTGGCTGGGCCAAAAATTTGTCATTTTTAAAATGAATCACAAGTATTTTTTCAAAGACTGTTTTCATCTCCATAGTACTTCTGATAGAGCATATCCCTGTGGACCTGTAACTTTCTCAGAACAGTGAAAAAATAGCTTGATATTTAGAAAACTGCTGGTCTTCGACTGGGTTCCATGGAAGCCCAGTGAAACCAGGAGTTGGGTGCTGAAGGATTTTATGGGCGAGGAAAGGAGGGTGGCAAGGTTGGACAGAAGAGAAGCTGACCAGCAATGCAACTGCAGCTGAGGTCCCAGCTGCCCTGATGGGGAGCTCAAGCTGGGATGGCTTTCTGAGTTGTCCCCAGTTGAGGCAAGGGGCTGGACCTGTGTATCCCCGAGTCAGCCAGTTTTTGGCAGCTTAGCAACCCCTTCTGAAGTGTGACCCCTTTGGGTGAAGCAGTGTCCTGCAGCTGGCTGGGACCTTCCCTCTGGGCCATGAGCAGCCAGGGATGGGTGTGCTGGTCCTAAAAATGGGGTCTGTGTGGAGTACACCAGTATCTACTGTCCTGTCCCCCCAAAACCTAACTCCTTAAAAAAGAACCAGAGAGCCATAGGCAGCACCAAAATTCCAGTGCATGGTCAGTCTCTGTATCTGCAAAGTTAGGAAGTTGGATCCCTTAGCAAAGCTGAAGGAAGAGACCATGCCCCTTTGTGAATGGTAAATTGGATCTCTAGCCTCTCAAAACTGTATGAGATACTTGGATAACATTTCCACCTGCTTATGGTGTAGCAGGGGCCAGCTTCTTTCTATGTTTGTGAAACGGTTGACCCATAATTTTCCGAGTGTGAATTACTACTGCCTGTTTAGAATATTTATTACATGTGGACATAAAAGCAGTTGTTTCTGAGATATTTAATTCATGTTGAGTTTATAGAATTGGTGGTTTGTCACCACAAAAGGTGCACAGACCATCAAACCCAGATTTTCCAGGGAACCCTAGGGATGGAGGGCAAATAGGGGAGAGTATAGCTTGTATCGAAATTCCAATCACCTGATGTGGTATTGCAGCCGTGGTTAAGGATAATGATTTAGGAGTTCTACTGCCAGAGGATAAGTTAATATGCTGTGAAGAAATGAATCAGTGTTCTGGCATTTACGAAAGCCAGTGTATTCAGCAAATGTCTGAAACTGTCTGGCATGGTTTGAGGGATGAGTAAACAAGCCCAAAAGTCGAACATAATGTCTTTCTCAACTGCAGATTCAGTCCTATCTATGGTCCTCTTTCATTTCCTGTCTTCTAGTAAGTGCAGGAGGCAGTGCGTCCTGCTGACCCGCCATCTCAGTAGTGTGAGTGGATTGGGGGGACTGGAAGTAAGGAAGTCAGATGATATGGGCTCGCTGCACAGCAAAGGTGACAGAGAGTGTGTGTGTTCTGACCAATGAATGGTCTTCGCTTCCCAGGAAGTCCCCCTGACCTCCTCTATAACCCTGTGGCCTTTGCCTCGACCTGTGTTGCTACCCAAGAGCTCTGTAATGCCGAATGGTCTTCGCTTCCCAGGAAGTCCCCCTGACCTCTTCTATAACCCCGTGGCCTTTGCCTCGACCTGTGTTGCTACCCAGGAGCTCTGTAATGCCAAGTCATAGACTAGTGATGGCGAACCTTTTGAGCTCGGTGTGTCAGCATTTTGAAAAACCCTAATTTAACTCTGGTGTCGTGTCACGTATAGAAATTTTTTTGATATTTGAAACCATAGTAAAACAAAGACTTATATTTTTGATATTTATTTTATATATTTAAATGCCATTTAACAAAGAAAAATCAACCAAAAAAATGAGTTCGCGTGTCACCTCTGACACGCATGTCATAGGTTCGCCATCACTGTCATAGACCATGTTACCAACCTGTTTCCATTATGGGGTCACAGATCCTTATGCAGAAACTGGAAAACTCCAGCTGCCGTGGTGAGAGGTTCCATGTTAAAAACACACATCTCTGAACCTCCTGGAGAGATGTGACGACTGGAGATTGCATGTGAAGCAGACCATCTGCCCGCTGGTTTATGGTATTGTCTGGAAATGGGAGGCGGCATACA